TAGCATATTCTTCATTAAGCCATCTATATTGCAATTTTGCTTTACTCCACAATATGCAAAATTTTTAAAGACCAATTTTTCTAAAATAAAAATGAATAGATCGCAATAACCTCCACTCCAAATAGTTCAATTTGGAGTTAAAGACAAACATACATTAATGTATGTGGCACATGTTTTTAAAATTGCTGATTTACAGCCATAATTTAATTTTTATCTAATATTTAATAATAATAATTGGCGTTCTAAGCGAAATAGAAGCGTGTGGCCATAGATTTGGCTATTATGTAAACTATGCTATCGGTGTGCTTTACTGTAAAACACACTTTTACACTGTACATTGTTCATGCTAAATTGGAATAATAGTGAATGAAAATGCAAAATTGTCTATTTTCAAGTAAACTCCATTTTAGATCAAGGCTTGTTGCTTGACTAGTTTGAAAAATGTTGCACTCATTTTTGTTTTCTTTATTAGTAAATTTCTTTAAAAAATTGCTCCACTACAAATTGGTTACTTTCGCTAGTTTTTTTGCTTCATTAAAATGCTTTGATAGACAGTTTGAAGATCACCAAAAAGGTTTTCATAAAAACGTGGCATGGGAAAAACTTCGGATGTTGAATTGAACCAACCAGAACCGTAAGTTTTTCCCATTTTTCTCATTTTAAATTGATGGAAAACTGTTTCAAGACTCTGGTTTTGAAATTAGCGCGTAATATTTGCCTGAAGGTATCTTAAAAGTGAATTTGAACGCAGAAAACCTTTTTTCTTCAACTTAGTTTGCAGGGAAAGTGCGTGGAAGACTGAGCTTGTTTTTAGCGTTTTAGTCGTTTGTTTGGGTTTTGAATTCTGATTATTTTCTAAATCCTATTTCCTTTATCCGTTTATGGCTTCCTAAAAATGCCAGCTGAAAATATTGTTTTATACTTTATTTTCTCGTTTAAAATCGATGTAAATTGAGCTCGTTTTTGGCGAAAGAAACACTGTTTTGATTTTTTGTTAAATAATTTCCCCTAGAGCTCGCTTTTCTTAAAAAATATTTTGTATTTTAAGATGCATTTGAAAGCTGAAAACTGCATCTTTCTGTTGTTTTTTAAATCTAAATTTAAATAACTTTTTATAAAAAATTGAAAATAAATTTAAATTTTAATAAAATTAAAACCTGACAACCGTATCTGTTTTTCTCGTTTAAAATCGATGAAAAATTGAGCTTGTTTTTGGCTAAAGAGAGTTTTGGGCGTTGAATTCTACATTTTCTGAACATATTCACGTATTGCTCGGTTTTGTTTGAGAATTATTGATTTAAAAAAAATGCATTTGACAGCTGACAACTGTATTTTGTTGTTTTTTTCTGATGTAAAAGCTATGGAAAATTTAGCCTGTTTTCAGCTAAAACCTCTTGACTTTTAAAATCTGTATGTTTTCTATAAGAAAATAATTCTTAATCCTAAAAATGCATTTGAACGCTGATCGCGTTATTTTTGCCTTCTTTTTTTGCTAATTACAATTGCTGAAAAAGTTTGATTTAAGACATAGGAAGAGTGTTTTGGGCTTCGAATTTTTTTCCGAAAATTTTCCGGTTTTCTGTAAGAACTCTTGGGATCCTAAAAACGCATTTGAAAGCTAAGAACCGTATATTTTCTTTATTTTTTTGTAGATTCAAACTTGATAAAAAATATTCTTGCTTCCAGTTACAGAAAGAGTGTTTTGGGTTTGAATTCGGTTTTTTTCTGTTTAGGTCGGTTTTCTTTAAGAATTCTTGGCGTTCTAAAGATGCCTTTGAAAGCTGAAAGGTTTGTCTTGTTATTTTTTTATATTGATGGAATATCGTTTTGAAGTACAGAATGTTTTGGATTTTAAATGCAGAAATTTTCCGAATATACAGGGTGATTCAGATGAAATGGCAATTATTCAAAGGCGGAAGTCGAAATAGGCAAACTATGTTCAGGTCCGATGTTTATTTGCTTCAGGGTCATTTTGACTAAGTGTAATTAATTTTAAAACTATTAATTTATTCGATAAACTTATTTGCACGCGAATTTGGAGGCCAAAAACCAAATATTTATCTACTTTGTTGGTGAAAATAACTAAGCAAGAAAAAACCAAACACCCGATAAAAAACCACATAAACATTAAATAAAAGAACTGCAAAAAAAGCGAATCTAAAAACAAATTTCAAAAAGGCAATAACAAAACTAAATTCAGAAGGAAGTGGATTAAAAGAAACATATACATTCACCCGCCCCACGAGTTATTTAAATAAAAATACGCTAAAGGTTAAGGTGTGTTTAAGTGTTGGACTATCAATACTTGACGCATTTGTGCCATTAAAAAGTAAAAATAGCTTTTACCCCAACTATAAAATTTAAATAAACAAGTCAATAATACGTTTAGTTTGAACAAACAACGTCCAATAGTTGAACGGTTAATTTTAAAACATCTTGTATATGGTGGAACTGGAAATGCAAATCAAAAACTACAAAAAAGCGATATTTTCCATTTGATTATAGCAGTTTTTTTTCGGTGAATGAAGCCGTTGCTGGGCTATTTCCAATTAATTTGGTCCTTGACTTTGGGTCGTTAGCAGCATTTTGTTCAAAAACTATTAGACGGTCAGACTTTTTATGCAAATCAACAATATTAGACTAGACGGAATGTAATAATCCAAATTTACGGCTTGCATGTATCTTTATTGCCATGCCGATCATCAACATCCAATGATTATGGGACTACAAGGTTATCACCAATCTATTGTTATTCTCTAGGGGCAAATTTTGCCGTCATGGAATTGTTTGCTCTCTGAACACTGAGAAAAACACCAAAGAGCGTTTTACATGCAGTGATTAGCGCTGATTTGAAAAATATAATTAACACACTTTAAATAATCAACTCAAATTGACCGCCCAAAACAGGTCTTATTGAATGTGCCATTTCCAAGCGTCTTTATTTGAATTTAATTAAACATTTCTATTTCTTGCCTCCGTGACACAGAGTCGTATGAATCCCCGGCAAATCTTAATAAACACATTCAAATTATTCTTAGGAAGAAACCGGATTGTTGTTGAACAGGTTTTACTCACAACGTAAGACTTTATAAAAAATATCACATGACTGTGTGACGAAAAATATACTAAGCGTTACCGGCCAATGATCAAGCGTTCTTGGGTGGGTGTGATGTTTGTTCAGTAATTTAAGCATTTACGTAGTCAATAGTTCGATAAAATTAACATAACGTAGATAAGTTGAATAGTTTTCAGTACGAGATTTTACCTAAAGTTTGTGCATATATTTTCAAGCTCTTGCAACAGGCACTAAAGCAACTAAACTGTTAAGTTCGAGCCAAAGAATAAATGGCAAAGTAGGCACCACCTGAAGAATAAACCCAGTCTGAGTAGCGAGTCTAAAAAACTTGAAAACAATTTTACCCGCTTTTGTGCGCGCTTGTGTGAAGCCCGAAAAATAATACAATGCACTACACTTTTAAGTTGCACAAAGTCCATAAAAGTATGGGGCACAAATTGCAAGGTTTTGTTGGAACATCCTGTATAATTATTCATTGGCAGTTTTTGTATGGCTAAGTAAACCTCTTTTTCGCCTTTGCGTGAGCAGAAGAGTTGCGGCCTTAAAAACAATTGTTTTCAAGTCATCGGACATTTGTATATTATTTTATTATTTATATCAACGTACCTTTCGGCCAAATTATTTTCGCAACATACAAAAATATTCAACAGTCAACAGCCTCGGTAACTGAACCAGATAAACAAGAAAAAATCAAACGACATAATTGGTGATTGTGCGAAACGCCCAAGAAAACCGTAGATAAAATTGGAATGAAGGATTTAAAAAAAATACAAGAGCAACGATATACACAATTACATACTTGAGAATGAAATTAAAAATAAAACATTGCAACTGAGAAACTAAATGAAAAATCACTTAATTTTCCTCCGTTGCTCAATTAATACTTAACCGTCTCGGTAAATGCAACAGCTAAACAAGAAGAAATCAAACCCAAAACACAATTTTTGCTGAAATTAAAAAATTAAGTGCATTGGAACGTTGCAAATTTTTTAACATCATGATCAATCTGGGAAATCAAATGAAAAATTACTTAATTTTATAACGGATATAAATTAAAATATTGTGTGATTTCTTCCGGACGTTTCACAAGCACGAGTGACTTGCTTCTTCAGAGTGTTGTTGCGTTTTATTACATTAGATGATTTTTCATTTGGTTTTAGATTCTTGCCATTATGGAGAAGACAAGCACCTTTATTTTAGAATGGCAATTATCGCATTTAAATGCGTTATTTTTGTACCTTTTTCTGCTTAAATATTGTTACTGAAAACTACCAATTGAAGGGTTTCGCGCAGTAAAGAACCGCCACTCCAGAGGACTGTAACTGTAAAAACAGTGTACTTAGCGATGTTTTACTAAGAGGAGAATAACCGAAAATATTATGCAAATAAATTTATGGCGACTAGAAAATTATTAAATGCTAGTCGCAAGCATTTGTGCATTTGGCCGCCAAAATCGCCGGATTTATTTCCAGGTGACTGGGAAAAAATCAGACGTTCTTAGGTGGCATTGAATTCATTCATTCCTCGTACTAATTGATAAAATTTCGTAAAACTAGAGTAACTACTTGATTAATTAATCAGTTTTACAAAAATTTTGTATTTATCGTGACCATTATTTCAAGGATGCTTTTCTTATTTTTGTATCCAAGCCCCAAAGATATTATAATCTATTATAATTTATGACTTATCAGGATCAGAAACAATGGAATTTGATTAACGTTTTTTTTTGAAGATTCATTCAAGCTTTCGCTTGAAGATTGATTGACTTAATTTCGATGTTTTGCGTGTGGCACTCAAAGGCGTTCTGCCCTGGAGATTGAGCCAAAATTACAATTCATTCTACGTAAAGGAATTTCTTCCAACGCTTTCTTGGTATCAGGATTACTCATTTTATTTTACGATTGATCCATAAAGAATCACCAGTTTTAGTCATCGGATCTCCACGAAAATCTTAACACTCAAATCGCACGAATTGCGGTTAAAGTAAAAAGCAAAACTACATATGAAGGTAATAATTATTGCGCAACAAATGGTAATTATTGGCCAAGATTATTTAATGAAAATCACCGATGTGCCAAAGTTCCTTTTGAAGTTCTCCTAATCATCGTCCTCAACAGTTAGGAATTAACGCAAGATCCTAGAAGATAATGTGATAAACTATCTCACCATTCGCTAATTGAAACCGGTAAGATAAGATGCCATCACAGGTAAAACACAAATAATAAGCGATTCGCCTTAACAAGCTCTTATTCGTTGAAACTCGCGCTTGCAAACAGTTTTGATACCCGCAAATCGTATATAGTATCGACCTACTCACCTCGTGTGGTACATCGGGAGTAGAAACGCTAATTTACCCCGTTTTTGCTCAATTTTTATTTTTTTTTGCAATTCGCGAGCATGGCCATTGATTTAGTCAAGCCCAAATGTTTCGTTTTTGTGCTGTTCCTTCGATTTGCGGACCTCCATGCGTATAATGCTCAATATACAGGTGAGTACCAATTTAATTTATAGTCTTTTAAATTAGTTTTGCTCCGAATTTGCTTAGTAATTAACAGCAATTTAGTGGAAACTTTTTCGAAAACTATCTGGCTAAAGAAAAACTGTTTCTCATCAATCTTAGGGGATTTACAGTTTATCGCCTAATTAACGCAAAGTAAATACTTATATATTTATAAATTAATAATTTTTGTCTCGATATTGATATAATGAGTTGTGATGGAATTCTGTGGAAATAATTTTATCTAATTTGGGGATTTGGGGTTTATCCGCACGTTCGCGCGTATTTTCTTGCAAATTCGTTGCTCTAGACGTGTGCGTTTGGATTAAAAAAAAAATCAATGCAATTTAACGCTAAAATCAACCACTCATAAATTAATGACAATAGAGTTTCTAATCTAATTAATTCTTAAAATGACTAGATTACTCATTGAAAAATTTGAATAAAGATTGAGTAATCTTTCAAAGAATTTGTTGTTTGTTGATTAAATCATCATGATAATCTCGTTTCAATTCAGGATCACACACACTGTAAAGTATGAAATGCCTATTTGCTTTACTTTACTACCGCGGCTTTTTTACTTACTAACTTTACCGCGGCAAGTTTCTATAGGTTTGATTCTTAGAATAGTTCTCAATGTTTTTTTGACGAATAAACGCTCATGTTTAAGCAGGAAGAAAGTGCCTCAATAAATGCTTAACTTGAACTCCAACTTGGCCCTAAATTTTCTCTAATATTGGTTTTATATTCTTCGAAAACTTGCCCTTTGAGCTTTTCAGCCATAATTACATCACAAAGAGCCGCAAAAAATATTTCATCTCTTAATAAACCGCCAATCTGTTCAACATTTATTAATCGGTTTCAACTCCATTCCCAGCTTGATTAATATTGTGTTTTCCTTCTTCACTTTAGGGGTTTTCGCAACTATCTTTTTACACACACATTTACAAGGCCTGAAATTCAATTTGCAGAACAGTATGAAAACAGCAAATTTTCTTTGGAAAAGTGCATTTTCTCACGCTGAACGTTAAAAGGCAGACTTTGTGGTCGTTTTTAACAATCCATCTTTAGTTAGTGCGAACTAGTTTATACTAAAGTTAATTATGCAGTCAATCGACTGGGTCTAATAACCTTGAACAATATGTATGTACTTAATAAATTATGTTCAGTTAATTAAAAACCAGTTCACTGAATCCACACTAATGCTTTTGTCAAATTTTCTCAAGTAGAACACAAAACACGTTGGGTAAAAATACATTCTCCTTAATTGCTCCACTAGAATTTTTTGTTTATGCAAATGTGCGGGTTTTACAACATAGTTTTCCAAAATGATCTAAATTTAATTTTGAGTAATCCCAGACGTTGCAGTTTGAATTATCAAAAATTGTCGCTTTTGTGTAGTTCATTCAGTTGCACTCTTTGTTTCAAAAATTCAAAACTTTCAATATAGAACAAGTGCGGTTTTAAAAGTTTCACCGACTTTAAATAGGACTCAGACCTACAGTTTTTGAGAATTTGGTTGGAATTGAAAACAAATCCTGAGTTTTAGAGACTTTTTAGCAGGTAACAACTTGAAACTATCACATTCTATAAAAGATACTTAGGTGTAAAAATCATGCGAATTTTATTAGAATCCAAATGAATTCTGATTTTTAATGAATTGTTAAATGATGGTCTGAAAATGACCGTTTTCACCCAAGTGCACTCTTTGCTTCGAAAATTACAAACTTCCAATCTAGAGCAAGTAGCGACTTCAAATTTTCACAGCCTCTTCAAGACACTTGAGTCTATAAATTTTGAGAATGTTATTGGATTTGAAAAGATTTCTGATTTTTGGCTACTTCGTAAATGTTTGTCTGAAAATAGACGTTTTTACCCAAGTGCACTATTGGTTTCAAAAATTCCAAACGTTAAATCTGAAGCAAGTGGCGAGCCGAAAGTTTCATAGTCTATAAAAGACACTTAGGCCTACAACCCCTGAGACTTTGGTTGAAATGGAAAAAATGCTGATTTTTATAGACTTGAGAAATATGGATCTCAAAATGAGCGATTTCACCCTAGTGCACTATTTGCTTCAAAAATTCCTAACATCCAATTTTTAGCAGGTAAGAACTTGAAACTATCACATTCTATGAAAGATACTTAGATTTAAAGATCATGAGAATTTTATTAGAATCCAAAATAATTCTGATTTTTAATGAATTGCTAAATGATGGTCTGAAAATGACCGTTTTTACCTAAGTGCACTCTTTGCTTCGACAATTACAAACTTCCAATATAGAGCAAGTAGCGACTTCAAATTTTCACAGCCTCTTCAAGACACTTGAGTCTATAACTCTTGAGAATGTTATTGGATTTGAAAAGATTTCTGATTTTTGGCTACTTCGTAAATGTTGGTCTGAAAGTAAGCGATTTTACCCAAGTGCACTATTGACTTCAAAAATTCCAAACTGTTAATCTGGAGCAAGTGGCGAGCTGAAAGTTTCATAGTCTATAAAAGACACTTAAGCCTACAAACCCTGAGACTTTGGTTGAAATGGAAAAAATGCTGATTTTTAGAGACTTGAGAAATGTGGGTCTCAAAATGAGCGATTTCACCCTAGTGCACTATTTGCTTCAAAAATTCCTAACATCCAATTTTTAGCAGGTAACAACCTGAAACTATCACATTATATAAAAGATACTTAGATTTAAAGATCATGAGAATTTTATTAGAATCCAAAAGAATTCTAATTTTTAATGAATTGTTAAATGATGGTCTGAAAATGACCGTTTTCACCCAAGTGCACTCTTTGCTTCGACAATTACAAACTTCTAATCTAGAGCAAGTAGCGACTTCAAATTTTTACAGCCTCTTCAAGACACTTGAGTCTATAACTCTTGAGAATGTTATTGGATTTGAAAAGATTTCTGATTTTTGGCTACTTCGCTAATGTTGGTCTGAAAGTGAGCGATTTTACCCAAGAGCTGAAAGTTTCATAGTTTATAAAAGACACTCAAGCCTACAAACCCTGAGACTTTGGTTGAAATGGAAAAAATGCTGCTTTCTATAGACTTGAGAAATGTTGGTAAACTGGAAAATAATTTCTCCTTTATCGCTCGACCAAAATTCTTTATATATGCACATGTAGAGGTTTTTTTCAACACCATTTTGTAAAATGATCCAATTTTGCTCCATATTGGGTAATCACAATTGCAGGACAAATTATCAAAAAAATACGCTTTCAAGTGCTTAGAGTTAAGTGCTTTTGACTATGTACTTAATAAAAGTTGAACTGTTGCGTTGATATGGTCTGAACGTCTAGACGATTGATTTATCGCGCAAAGATGCCCTCAAACTAAAACTATTTAAGGAAATCAGGCTGCAAATAAATAAGCAAACTCATTACTGAACATGCCTGTGAAAATCTTAACTAAAATGACGACAACAGTGCTTAAGCAAATACAAAATATTAGTATATACGTAAGCGCAAGCGAAAAATATTTAATAAAGGATGAAAAGCTATGAAAATCCGTATGTGCAAAATTAAACAAATGATTTATAATGTTTATTTGAAAAAAATATAAAAGTCAGCCAATTTAAGCCCAGCTTTTGCTTGAACGCGACAAAAAATTTGTTTTTTACAAAATAAAAAAATGTCTAATAGTGCAGTTTAAACTGGAAAATGATTAAAATCCCATTCTGTGGTACAAATTCGTGTCGTTTGCCCATAAACTATGAAAATGAGACTCATTGTGTGAAACAAGTTCTAGAAATGTATGCCAACAGCAATTACAATGAGATTTTTGATAAGCTGGTGTGTTTAAGGCAGACATTATGATGCGATTTTATAGGTACGTTTCCTGATTGCATGCAGTAAAAGTGGAATGATTTTCTGAGCATTTGTTTGAAGATCAAACGACGCCTTTGTTTCGCGTTTTATAGTCAATCAGATGCGTCCGGTGATTGCAACCTTTGAGATCGGTATCAATTGATGTGATTCATCAGTTCAATTCGGTGCAAAACACTCTTTAATTGTACAGAAACATGTTGTAAAAGGCGGTTTCATCCAATCCCTCATTATCATCCTGAACTATTGAAAATGTACTTTCCAAGCAATTAATGTGGACGTTTTTATATTGCAAAATTCCAAATTTAGCACACTCTTAAACGCAAACTCATTATTTTGGTGGGAATTGTGCATTTTATTGGCAGTGGTAAAGTTAAAATTATCCAATTTTTCCATCACAAGTCAGGACATAAATTAACACGTTGCGTTAATTAGATTTACACGTTCGACGTATATTTGCTGTGAAACCTCACATTTAAGATGCGATTTTGTTCTAGATTCGGATGATGCCGACTTATACGGAAAATCAATCACGATCGACGAATATATTCAGGATACCACCAAAGCTGAACCGCTTCCAGGTATGGAGAAGTTGAGTTTGTTTCCCGTCAACAAACCTACTTTGATATCTCAACTAGTTAATTATTTATTTTCCCATTTATTTGCATATCACCTGAACATTCTAAAGTCAATATTGCTATCGCGTTCATTTTTGCCCTGTTTTCACTATCAGCGTAGAGCCAATTAGCGTAGAGCAACAGTGTTGGAAAGAAGTGTGGGACAGTGGAAAGAAACATGAATTTTATTGCGAATATTTTCTACTACAGTAAGTACTTTCAACTGTTCAATGGGAGGGTTTTAGGCTGTGGGGGAAAATAATTTTAATGTTTCGCAAGCACGAGTGGCGTGCATCTTTAGAGGTGGTCTGCTCGGCTATTGATCAAAATTGAGTTCAAAGTTTCTTCTTAATCTTCGCCGCAATTTTTCGAAGGAAAATCTATTGTTTATCAAATAATCGACGCCGTTCTGGTGCTAATCCTAATTTATATCCGTTTGGAAGGTTTTGTTGCGCGGTTTATTAAACATCGAGGAATTTGCGCAAAAAATAAGCGCTCATAAATCAACTTTAATAAAGAGCTTTACTCTACAGCCTGCTTAGTGCGAAGCCCTGTTGAACATCCATAATCTACCGCAATATTGGCCAAAAGATGTTTCGGCTCCGAATTGCAGTTTATTGACGTAGGTGGCAAACTACTTAAAATTGCTAAAAATAAACAGGCGCTAATTGAGAAAATCTATAGACCTGGCAAATTATAGCAGGATCGTAAAAAACCTGGAACATTCAGACAAGTTAGATGCTTTGGCTTATGGTTTAATAATACCTAACTAGGTAACATTATAACCATTAATACACCAATTAACAGATATCAGCTGCCTTAGTACGTACAGCTTAAAGAGGTTTAAACCTAATAAATCTAGGTTCCCTCATGACTTTTTAATTAGCTGGACCAAAAAAATTTAATTTTATTGCTTAAAACATTCTGTTTGCCCAGTTAACTTTGTGATTAACCATTTCATTTTTGTAATGTTCGATTGATCTTTCGGGGCGACGATAACTGGGTTTGGACGGATATTTTTACATGTTTTTGTGTCCTTATTTTCGCTAGCTAGAGGTTCCAATCAACTTGTAGATTAAAACATATATTTTTTTAGTACTTTATTCAACAATATTTTTTTTATTTTAGCGGAAAGAACCCTTGAAACTGGTGCAGTGATTTGGTACATTGCATCCTTTGGCGGTCTGGTTCTGTTCTTCTTTATCGTGTCCTGTAGCGAATGGTGCTGTAGAAGAAACGCCCGAAGAAACTGCCAGAGGAACAGCAATCCTCAAACCGTGCAAGTGATTGTTGATACTCCGCCTTCGTATGATCATTTTGCGCCTCCAGCCTATGAAGATTTGTGGGTGGGCAGCAGCCAGAGTACCAGAGGAGAAAAGAACGAATATGATATTTACGTTGTGCCAGTGCATGCCTTAGGCACTCTTCTGGTCCAACAGACAGAAGAAGCTCCTCCTTCATACCAAAGTGCCAATGCAAGTGTTCAGCACAGCGCCGTGTCTTCGAGTCATCCAGTTAGTAGAGTAACGTGATAATTCGGCCAAATAAACAGTTTGTTGGGAATTGCAAAAAACGAGGGGGGACGAATTATTTAACCTGCGATTTTGGTTAAAACACACGACGGAAAGTGATGACAATATTGGAAAAATTGGCTCTCAAATCAGAGTTTTACATAATCCAGATAACCGGGTGGTAAACATTGGAGAAAAACAATTTATGCTTTCAAAGACCTGCCAAGTTTCAAGCCGTAAACACACAAAAAAATTGAAAACAGTGTGGAATTTTTGATTAATCCAACTAAGCTTTGAGCAAATATGTCGAGATAAAGTTTCATATCTTAACGTGCGTTAACTAAAGGTGTTATAGGAAAATAAAGCCAGGCCAACTAAAAACAAGATTTTGCTTTATCATTTCATTCATACCAATGTTGATATTGCTGTTTCAGAATTGATTCTCATGGGTTTTGTGAGTGTAATTTTCTATTTTTTCGACGATACTGCAGCGCCTGAATTGAGGCAATTTCTCTATAAAAACATCAAAAAACAGTTGTGAAGTGAATTGTACCTGTTTGTATATAAAATAAGCCCAATTATTTATTAACTCCATCACGACCTTACGAATTTTTACTTTTATAAATTTAGGCATCGGGCCTAAAAATGTGATATTATATATGAAATATATTTTTTAAGTATAAATGTGGATTTTGATTAACAAGCTGCAATAATTACGGCGAAGGAATGTTTATATACTTTATAACAAGGAAAAAGATGTGACTTGAATGTACATTGATAAGCAAAGTCAGCATTAGTAATAGTTATCTATTGCATAACTGCAGTTCAAATAACTTACTTCATTGCATATCAGGTTACACGCTCTGCGCTAATCTAACTTAATCCACTTAGTGGGAGTGTTTGCCTCTAATTAGATTGGGTAATAAAATCAGCCGAGTTAAAAGGACTTTAACCTTTATCCTGGAAAATACTAGAACAAGTATTTTCCGGTAGATAGATGAAAAATTCTAGTTAATATCAAGCCGTTGATTGAACCTGGCGAGTTTTACTGGCGAAAATCTCTCCAGTCCTGACAACGTCCGTTGTGTGTTGGTGGTGGAAGTTAAATACAAAATAATAATATTTTACACAGTCGTATATTGCTAAAAAAATATACAGAAAAAAGTACAAAATTATCCTCTACAATCTTAAAATTAAATTACGTTATTAATCCCCGCTGCCTACATAGTTAAAATATTTGCATGGTGCTTTTACTCACTATTCGCGTTATGTATAAACTAAATCCTATAGTTACATTTAGGCACGCTCAATCGATTTAAAAATATTATACAGATCCTTATCTAATTTACTAATCAGTCTAAGTATTACTAATGTAAAACACTTAAATATTTATTGTGAACGTTTAGGTACTTTAGGACTAGTAGTGCAATACCAATAATTTATTAACAAGAAATTTGAAATGCAATAATTAATACTGGAACAATGATTAAAAACGCATTAAGCACACTGATGAGGTGCATACATTCATTTTTGGGGACAGTTTTCATCTGTTATAGCGGAAGGATAAAATGTTAAAGAAATGCCGCGCCTTGAATATATATAATATATAAACTTAGACTTGCGGCCAATTTACGGGACTAAGGGATAATGCACATCTTATTCGACAAAGTCACAAAAGGCCCATTACTGAGTTTCAGGTTGTAGAAGTCTGAAGAAATTTTCCACAGTAGCTTTCGCGTAAAAATTCGTTAAACCCAAACAGTTTCTCCTAAGGGTTTTAGTATGGCATTTTTCATTGGGAGCAGTTTTCACCATGCAACGTAACATGCGAGTTAAGTTGATAAATAATTTTTAAATAGCCATACCAAAAGCAGGGTAATGGCCGAAAAACCACTGCGAGTTTCAAAATATTATTCTTCTAATTTAGCTCGATAACGAATCCTTGGTGCGCTTAAATTTCTTCAAACTTTTCAGCCTGATTCCAGTGGTTTTTTTTTAATATCTTGATGGTATTAGAACGAAATATCACCCATATTTGCATTGAGGTATGTATGTAAACGCTATTTGGCAAACCATCCACTCCAGTTAACTGGCAGGAGTGCCTCCTGGAGGAAACAGACTATCATAAGAGGGTGGTAGATCTTTGGCCTCATCCCGAATTGGAGCTGAACCAGCCGCGTGATTCGCTTCAAGCGCAGCTATACGTGACCCCGTTTGTTCAATCATTTCAATTAGAGACTAAAACGATCGGGATTTAATCAATATGTATCGATAAACTATAAGAAATACTCACATTGCTAAGGTTTGCGGTTGGGGGGGCATGTGAACAGTCGAGTGTCCAACAGAACATGTGGTACTTCCTAGATATCCACATAAATAAAATGAAAGCAGCGAACAGTAGCGCAAGTACCGATAACGATGAAGTAAGAAATTGGGGTCCGACTGATTCCTTCGGATGAGGCTACAATAAGTGAAATTGTATTAAGAGACAAGTGAAAGTTCCCTAAATGCGCGGATAAAAGTGAATAACAGTGGAAACACTCGATTGCTTCCAGATGGACCGCAGAACACACACAATGAAAAAATCAACAGTCCAAAAGTTAACATTTTGTGAAAAGAATTAGGCTGTTGCAGCGGTTGCTAAACTTGGTCAGTTTTTCGGGCGAAAAACCTCACCTTTTTATGCCGAACACCAACATCACAAAAAAATAGCTTTGCCTGCTAAATTTAAATACATAAAAACGACTTAATAATTTGGTAAATACAGGTAGGCACTCACCGATTTGATGCATCCGAATTCATCGCTGCATCCAAAATATGGACAGTTAATATTCCCATCACGGAAATATCTGCTGTTTATACAGAAGCTGTGATTATAAGTGCAGTCCTTCATATTGCTAAGATTTGCGTTCAATGCACAGTCTGAAAAAGTATAATATAATTTGAACAAAGCAGAATGATTATGCAGAATCAGCTTGATATTTGAATAAGAAATTAATCAATTGGGAAATGTTAAATTGGTTCGTACCAACGTATGAAGTAAACACTATTCTAAAGAGAGTTTTGTTGTACTGCTCTATTCCTCCCTCTGTTAAGAAAATAATCACATCCATCTCGCCATCAACGTCTATGAAAGAATTGTTGGCAACCTCTTGAGCATTCAGATATGGATGTAAACGTATTTTAGGCGAAACATCTTCAGTCAATGGCACAGTTGTAATCATGCTTTCGTCTAATCCGCAGTATCGTCGGCTACTGATGCCATTCTTGGTTCGAAATTGAACATATTCCCTACACTCGTTACTGTTGTATTTTGTCATCAGATTAAGATTCTCAATAACTGCAATAACGCCTCCGTATTTATAGAAGGACTTTACTTCGAATTTGCAGATTTTTGGGAAAATCCCATTCCGGGTTCGGACATCAGTGACCACTAGTGATTCATACTTTAATTTTCTTTTGGTTGTTTTAGAACAGAGTGTAGGGCTATCAACTGATACTGTAAAAACAATGGGTCGTTAATCTTTCCCTGGTAATAACATGGGGTGAAAACATACATTTTTTCACTTGCTGACTGGGACTTATAGCTGATATAAGAAGCACGTAAAAAACAATGTTTGACCACACCTTCATGATTTCCTATTAGATTCCTTGTTTTCTATCAATATAAAACATCCTCGCAATGCTTTTTTTGTAGCTGAATCGAAAATTCGCTTCCTTGGGTTAATTAGATTTATTGTTTATTTTATTAATTTTCACTTTATAGCAAAACCACAACAAAACTGACAATTTTGTTGTCAAACAGGCCAGTGGCAGGTTTCAAGTTTCAATAGGTTATGGTCAGCAATCTGTAAATAGAGTGCGCCTGCTTTGTGTGTGTAATCACCACTATTTGCGAATGCTCGTGCGTGCGCAATTGAGATTTAAATTATTTAAAAAAACCTTGCATTTCCTTAAATTATTTTATTTTTGCGAATGAACAGATGAAAGAGCTTTATATTTAGTACATTGAAGCAACATTTGCGTAGCACCTTCTGCTTTATTTCTTGGCCAAGTGAGGTTTGACGCCTTTTTTTAACTAAAAAATGTTTTTTTTAGGAAAACCTAATGGGGAGTTTTTTTGTATCTCACCTTAGTTACCTGCAAGGTGAGGACATCGTAAAATAGTTTTCTTCTGGCCGTTTGAAAGTTTAGCAAATCTTCCTCGAAATTTTCTTGCTCCCTCGTCTCCAGCTCAGCTCTATTTAAAGAAAAATAAAAAAATCCCCAAAAGAAATATTAAAGTGATTTCTTACGGTTCTGGCCCAACTGAAACTAAAGAGTGTTGAGTATGAGGCCGCTCAGGGACTGAGCGAGAGTGAGTTGATGACGCAGACCTGCAATATATTTAAAAAACATAATATACATATTACGTTAATAAAATACATTTTACCTACCTAACTTTTGATGTAACAGCAGGACGCTGGCCTCTATAAAAAAACAGACCTTAATGTTCAGTTGCTGAAGAATAACCGACAAATTTTATTGGTATTTAAAAACACCGTGATTACAACGAATTATCAAACTAAAAAGGTTTTACCTCGGTTTGCTCGCAACAAACACTTCTTCATCCTCGCCAGGAACATCCAGGATGGTGTTTTCATCTGTAGTGAATGTTCCCGGGGGAATTAACACTTTTTGGGGGTACTTGGAGTTGTACGGAGGCCGCAGCATTTTTACAGTAATTTTGAAGCGATTTTTTTTGTCAAAAACGTCTTTTGTGAATCATGGAAACAATGACAAATGCGGGTTCATTGTTTAGGTTTCACCTGCAATTAGCTGGCTTTGAATCGCAGACAACAGCCGAATGTATAAAAATCCCGAAAATATAAACTTGTAACTTGCCTTTTTATCGGATGCAACCAAGGGGCTAAAGAAAGTGACTCTTGCTGAATATTTAACATACATTATATTAAAAATATAAGCAAATACATTGGAAATGTACGCAGCTCGATAGTTTTTTTAACAATCATAAATATATTCATCAAATATAAAATTTGTCTCTAGGCACATTTTAGCTACTCCACTTGTTGCTGGACTTTTAACAAAGATCCAACAAGAGAACTGAAAATTTAAAGTCATCTTGCACATTAAAAAATATGTTATAATCTATATGTCTTCGATAAGGGTTTCGTTAACCTGGAATGAAAAGGAAATGTAAAAAGACCACCCAAACTAAGGCTATTGCTCTTTTTTAGCGGGTTCCGTCTTCTTACTTTGACCGCCACTAGAGGAAATGCGTCCAGGGTATTTGAACAGCAACCCGAGTTGCACTATGCACAAAATAAAGCCGATACAGTTTTGGATCTAGAAAAAGCGTCAACATGTAGATGATCGGCAACATTTTGTCCGCATACGTACAATCATGAACACATTGAGCAAAATAATTCCATAGATTAACCAGAGGAATGTTACAATGGCTCCCATTAGAGTAATGGGCAAAGGAATGGAAGACGCATCCTGATTTGCAATCATGTTTTTCTGAAAATCATCAACGTCAATTTTGTAAGGTTGAAAAAAACCAGTTAGTTAACTGACCACATCTAGCAATGGAGCCCCAATCAAAGCAAGCATTAACAGGGTCAAAACTAGCCCAAATCGGTACTCCAGGTTTTCCGGATTTTCCAGTTGTGCATATCCGAGGAAAACTGCCAACGTTGCCACTCCATAAGCGACCGGTTTAAGCACCTCCTCATACTTATCAGCCGCATATTTGTAGAAAAAGAGCGAATATATGGAATTTAGAAATATCGCAGCAACATTCACTGTTATCATTGCAGAATCATTTACAAGCAAACCATATTTTAACATCAAAATAGCGCTAAAAGAAGCAAATTCTGCAATTAACTAACATCCATTTTTAGTTTTTGTGTGTGGTTTACACGCGAAAACACTTACATAGTAACACCTCCGATAAACGGCATGGGACTACATCCTTGTGTGGATCCTTTCTTGTAAATATCCTTGCAGACAAAAGCGCCAGAAAAAAACTGCGCTATTGTCACATAACTGGCCACTGAACCCACTAACTCTTTATAGGGCTGCAAGCTCTGAGAAAGGGCCTCCATTTTTTAAGCTAAACGGAAACAGTGTTAAGGAAATCAGACGTTAAACAATCCAAGCTAATCAGTTGAACAAGTCAGGGCCAAACTAGTTTAAGCGTGGCAGATGAACTTGAATTAGACGATAATTGGGTTACGCGATTGTCTAAAGCTTTTGTATACACGGTGTTAGAATTGAGAAGTCAGAACGGGGATTTGAGCAGGTTTTTTCGGCTCAATTCACAGTTTTCGACCTAAAATGGTTAGTGCAGATATACTAAGCAAGAAATCATCGCTTAAAGACCGCAATCAGTTAAAAACAGTTTTTTTTCTTGGGGGTTTGGTCTAGCGAGTGGTGAACAAAAATTTAGGCAGGTTTGTTCACCTTCGTCTTAATTTCAAGAAGTTTTGATTTTGCCTGTTTCTTTCGCATTTCCACAAGAAACACCACAAAGTCGTTAGGAAAGAGATGATCTATAAGGCGAGCATATTGTTAACTTCGAAAACCAAAGGCCTTTGGCTTAGTTGGATGAGTATTGGTGGTGACTATTGACAAAAGCGAACTTAAACTTACTCAGATTTCTGTTGCAGCCTCGAAGAGTATTTGAGCGAAAATAAAGCTGATAGTGCAATCCCGATTTATGAACACGTATATCAAGGTCGTAATTAAATAGTATACATTGAATAAGTAAATATTTTGGATCCCAAGTGCGATTTTAAGTGTCTTGAGCGCCACTCAAGATTCAAAGGGGCAGAAGCACAAAATATTAAACAAATTACATATTGTTACTTACAGGCAATTAACAAGGTTGCAAGCAGGTATGTTGAATATGTAGCAATCAACTGGGAGAGTTATAATAAACAAATAATCGCACAAATTAGTGCAATACTTTCAAACAAATTAACTTGAAGGAATTGTCAAAAAATTGGGGCTATGTAGAGATTTCGTCCTCTTTGACCGATTCTTAAGACAAAACCGGTTAAGCCACCGCTGAAGAAATAACCATAGCCTAACCTCGACTTGAATCCATCATTTGACAACTATCAAAAAAAAACTTTAATTTTCATTGCATATTCACTTTTGCGGGTTTTAATTATTATTGTACAGTATGTCGAAGCCGGGGACGTCCAGTGGAGACACCCAGTCGCAAACTGCTCAAAAAACCTGGGAATTGTCCAATAACATGGAAACAATCAGTTCAGTGGATGAAATTTACAAATATGATAGAAAACAACAACAGGACATTCTTACTGCTAAGCCCTGGGACAAAGAGTACGTATGCAACTAGACTACAAACAAGTTTATGAGCAGATCAATCGTCCTTTGCATAAGAACAGCAGAATCCAGGCTATTCACGAGTTAATCTCTACTTATTCTGTTTCAGCCCTCACTTTTTCAAAGACATCAAAATATCAGCTCTAGCTCTCTTAAAGATGGTGATGCATGCTCGATCTGGAGGAACCCTAGAAGTCATGGGCTTGATATTGGGGAAAGTCGATGGAAACACCATGTTTGTGATGGATTCGTTCGCCTTACCAGTCGAAGGAACTGAGACTCGAGTGAATGCCCAAGCGCAAGCATATGAATACATGAGCTCCTACATAGAAGCTGCAAAAATGGTAGAATTCACTCGGATGTTGTTGAGCTGTTAGCAGGGAGTTTAACACTTTACCTATTTCCTTCAGGTTGGACGGCAGGAGAATGCAATTGGTTGGTATCACAGTCATCCCGGTTATGGTTGCTGGCTTTCTGGCATTGATGTCAGCACCCAAATGTTGAATCAGAACTTTCAAGAGCCATTTGTTGCTATTGTTATTGATCCAGTTCGCACCATATCGGCTGGCAAAGTCTGTCTAGGGGCTTTCAGAACTTACCCAAAGGTAAGGTTCTATTTGTGTCGATTGCCAAGCTTTGAGAGCAAATTTTTTCTTTTTAAGTTCAACTTTGTTGAAGATTCAGCCAGGTAAGCGCGCATTTTGCGCATCGGACGAACGAAACGAATGTAAACGAACCTTTGCCCTATTGTTTTTTATGAACGTATCGATCCCTTGCATCCTTTTAGATGCACCCGATAGGGCAAATAAGTTCCATTCGTTAGATGCAAAAATGCGCGCTTATCCTACTGTATTCTTAACGCTTAAAATGAATTCCTCGCAACTGCCTTAAGGGCATAGAAGGATTTGTCTAGATATATATCTAAATACGTATTTATATTTGATTATATCTATCTTGATATGCAATGTGTCGACTTGTGTCGACTCACCAGTCTGTCCAGAGTTTCTGCAAATGCTCTAATTGATAACCTGAAAAATTTGAATTTTAAACTACATACGCTCACACTGTAGCAAATGATTTGTTTCAGGGCTATAAACCACCAAACGAAGAACCATCCGAATACCAAACGATTCCTCTGAATAAAATCGAAGATTTCGGAGTTCACTGCAAGCAATATTATTCGTTGGAAGTGTCTTACTTTAAGTCCACATTGGACCGAAGATTATTGGATTCTTTGTGGAATAAATACTGGGTAAACACCCTCAGCTCATCCAGTTTGATTACCAACGCCGATTACACTACTGGACAGATCTTCGACTTGTCTGAGAAGCTTGAGCAGTCTGAGGCGGCTATTGGTAGGTCGCGTTTTAAAATTCAGCAGCCGTTTGGAATTGTTTAAATGTTTTCCAGGCCGGGCAGGATTTCTTGCTGGAAGCGCAGATCCAACGGAGAAGCGCACGGAAGACAAGTTGCTGAAGGCTACAAAAGACAGCTGCAAAACCACGATTGAAATTATTCACGGCTTGATGGCTCAAATGATCAAAGACCGATTGTTCAATAGTATCACTCCAGGTAAAGTGTGTGCCCCTGAACACTCGAATTAACTTAAACCGATGTGAAATTTTAATTATAAGTTGTCTATAATGGTTTCAACACATAATGCTAATTTAAAATGAAAGTGTATGAAATAAAACTCGAAAGATATTGCTTCTGTGTTTATTATTAGTACTTTACAAGGATAATTACAACAATTGCATTTTCAAACTTACTTTATCATATTTTTGTGTTTTTCAAACAAAACAATCAAGGCACCTTTCTTATTCTATTACAAAATATTCCATTTATTCACTTCTATTGTTTAGTATATTACAGTATCTATAGTGCCGCATCCAGACCTAACGAGCCGAGCCTGATCGGCAACAAATTCCTTTGATGTTTCGACAAAACACCGGCAGAAATTGTTCGTCTGTGGGTGTTTTGACGAAATATCAAAGGAGTTTTGCCGCGGCTCGGACTCTGCTCGTTAGATCTGGACGCACCATAAGAAAGATCGCATGATTTTTGTGAATTACCACAAGCAATTCATTTATTATGTATATAATAGGCCTACAGCAATGTTAAATTGGTCAATATTCAATTGGCTACGTTATGTAGAGAATATTAACATCGGTTGTGATTGATTAAGGATTTTTATGATTCATCTTACAAAAATATGCGTATATCCACTGAGAGGTATTCATTTTCGTTGCCATTGTTCTCGAGAAATACATGGAATATTTTGTATTTACAGTTCCCTGCCTTTTTCTACATACATATTTGAAGTAATTCACAAATTTGTCTCGTTACAACTAGACTAGCCTTATTTTTACAATATGATCCTTAACTTTAACCGATTTACCTAGTTATTAGTCTAAGATTAAAACTTTACATAATATACATTTATTTATGATTGCAATTCGCACATCGTGACCGGTTTCTTCGATTTTGTAGCTTTCAGTAATTTTCATTTCATTCGGAATTTCACATAACAAAACGTTTCTAAAAACTGTCGATTTTGCCACACTGATTGAATTTTAAGACAGTGATATGCAATCGATTATTTAGACGATTAAAACCGATGTAAATGCCATTAAAGAGCGTTTACAACAACGTAGAAAAAACACACTGAAAATTACTGCCGTCGCCTGAAATGTTCAATTAAATTGCTATTTTGAAACGACTGCCTAGTAAAGAAGGGTAGCATTACGCATACATTACAATTACGCACTATATTTTAAAGTATTTATTTACACTTAGATAACTACCTTAGTTTATTGCTTAATACGTAACTAATATGAACAGAGGGGTGTCTATACGCGGGTCCAACATGTTCCATTCTGCAGTCGTAAATCTTTGCGGGTTTTTGCAACGAATTTTAATTTATTTAATAGTACCTAATCACACAAGGGAACCTGTTGACCCAATTTGTTTGGATACTAGTTTTCTAATTCTTTTCAATAACTAAAGATTACATAATATTGCTTCTGGTTCAAAAATATCACCTTCGGTATCAGGATTAGGTAACGAATTACGTGCAAAAATATTTCTTACATCCTGCTCATTAATATTTATAGTTTATATAAACACGATTTCTTGTTTTAGAAACAAATTAAAAATCACAGTTCTGTAGGTAACGCTCTCGGCAAAAGTAACTATTTTTTCACTCGCCCCTTGATATGTACAATTCACTTGATTTTGATGTTCTAATAGCTTTCAGTGTCCAATTTGTGGAAATAGTTACTTTTCCGCATTAAATTTTAAATTCTAATCTAGGAAAATGGTAACGAGGGGTTTGATTAAAACTTATTCGGATTTGTCTTCTAGCGGGCGAAATAATGAGAAACACATCATCAATATGGTTTATTAGAGGTACGCATTATCTTATATTGCTTTGTTCGTTTAAAAGTCTTTTTATCGAGCTCGAGGTTTAAAATTGCATCAAATATACGATTCAGTAGGAAATTTTCCATTACACTTGAAAATTAAAACAGTATTTTAACTTAATACTCATTTTTTTATTGGTTTCGTGCCTCTAATTTTCTACTTAGTTCATTTTCTGGTAGATCGTGTCTATTGGGTTTGACACAATCTATATTGTCGCCGATATTTTACTAATACTGGGGGGCGTCTGAACTTAAATACTCAATTTATTTATCCGTATGTTCACACACTCCCTAGTTATTGGATCCTTACCAATATTGAGCTTATTTGGTGCATAACTGTACCGGTTAAGGTTTTTCGATCAATGCGTCATAAACATTTGAAGTTATAAAAGAATGTCTCAGTAAATTGGGCAAAGTGATTATTCCTAGACTAAAAACAAGGTGGAAAACACAATACGTTTGGCTAGAATCCAGTAATCCTAAGCCTTATTTTACACACAACCGATATCATACAGTCTCATTCATTATTTTAATTTGTTAGGTCTAATAATCCTCAAATTAATCATCTGAAAATCCACGGGGCATATGTGGACCTTCGGATAATTAATACGAGAAGAGCGAAAATAATGAGCCATCTAATTGAAATAGGTCTGGCTCGTATTGAGCTGTTTGTCTCCATGCATTTGCCTGAAAAAGAGCTATTGTTGGCCTTTGGTCTATTGGAGTAAAACTTTCCTTTACCTCTGTTTGTTAAATTGAAGATCAAATCTCCAGTTATTCCCGGCTGAATCAGACGGTTGCAATAGCTGGATGTTGAGAACGCGACCACATTCGGACCAAGTTCTTTATACATAAAGCAAAACTTTCTTGCCCCATGAGCCCGGCTTATTGGGGTGGTTATGAGGAAAGACGTTCCGTTTTCTTCCCATCTACCATGGCATGAGTATGCTGGAAACATACATCTTTGTGAATAATCAACATTTTCAATAATAATGTAATTTATTAAAGTTTTACAAAAGCCCGTTATGCTCTCACGGGTTCAGTGAGCCGTTAGTCGAACTCCAGCCTCTTCCTCAAAGTCCGCAATAATTCTCAATATTGCCAAGAAGCTCTGGCTTCACATGCGGACAGAATTCGATTTTTCTTTGTTTACTGAGATATAAAATATTAAATTTTCCTACAGGTAAGTGTAGAAACGTGCATGACGCTAGTTCGGGAAATATTTATTACTCTCACCTGCTCCGCATTAAGTGCATGTCCGGGTTTAAGCAGAAATATATGTCGCTTTAAATGTCTGCATATATATGAAAGTAGTGACTTTCAGTGAGTTACACAGAGTGCAATGGATATT